CAGTCCGACTGTAAGAAAACCATCCAATAGCCTTGGGTTAAAAACTTCGCCACATATTTACTCTAATACTGTGACATTACATAATGTATTAAAGGTTAATAAAGGTTATTCACAATTGTCAAGAAAAATATCAACCACAGAAAAAACAAAATCACAATGACAGTGGAGCTTATAATATACAGAACTGTAATGATGCTAAACTAAATCAATCAGGGTCTTAACACTTATTCAGCATTTCTTTTTTTTTTAGAACAAAGCGGGTCACTTTTGGGTTTTTATGAATCTTTGTGTTTTTATGGAGTAAAGGTTTATCACAAATCCACTGTACTTTATGTAGGCCCCCATGAGGAAGGTTGTTAATGTGTGTCAGGATTGTAAGAAAAGGTCTGACTGCTTTTTTTTGTCATCTCAGAAATCTGGCCATTGGTATTGGAATCCAAAATTTCCCAGAAGGCTTGGCTGTGAGCCTGCCACTCCGAGGTGCAGGAGTGTCAACGTGGACAGCCTTCTGGTAATCACAAAGAAAAACGTGTCTGTGTCAAAGAGTTTAATTTTAAATATGAACACTACAGTATAAGCTTTCCATTTCCTGACAGGTATGGCCAGCTAAGCGGCATGGTAGAGCCTATTGCTGGCATGCTGGGTGCTGCTGCTGTTGTTATGGCCGAACCTCTTCTGCCATATGCATTGGCATTTGCTGCCGGAGCAATGGTTTATGTCGTTGTGGATGACATCATACCTGAAGCTCAAGTCAGGTGAGATATAAACGAGGATTTAATCTAGATTAACTGTAATTAGGGTTGAATGACAGTTCAGCCTTAAGACCGTTCCACACTGAGTCCGTCTTTTTCGTCTGAAATTGAGGTACAGACAATAAGAAATATGATCTTGTGCTATGTCAATCATGTTTGCACACCTTGTCTGAAACTTTTTTACGTCAAAACATTTTTGTTCTGACTACAGGATCGCTTAATGACTGGAAAAACTCTAATTTATTGCCAGGTGAAACTAAAAATTCTACAATTCATATTCACACAAAATGCTTTTATCCAAAGTGATGTACATCAGAGAGTTAGTACAACACAAGCAAGGATCTAGAAAGATCTCATCAGTGTGCAAGGAGTCTGTGCGTAACATCACAAAAAACCCATCCGAAAAAACGGACTCAGTGTGCAAAGGCCTTTTATAATAGCAAAACCAGTTTTTTTCAGCATCTGTCTCTGCTTCTCTTCCACTTCTTGGCTCTGACTTGGTATCAACAGTGGCAATGGTAAGCTGGCATCCTTAACCTCCATATTGGGCTTTGTGGTGATGATGTCACTGGACGTTGGGCTGGGATGACAGAGCAGAGAGAGAGAAGTCCTCGAGCCCTCGATGGCCTCGATTTCATCAGTGCTGCTGACTTCTGTTTTTAAAAGGGGACCAAAATATGAAGTGTTTTATACTCAAGCACTAGTTGTAAGTTTTTGAAAAAAACAACAAAAAAAAACTACTTGAAATTGAGCAATAATAAAAGTGACACGATATATTTTGTAATACATTATATTTAACGTGTTTCATACTTAATGTCATATTATTAGAGCTGATGTTTAACTCATGTTGCCAGTTGTGAAAATCCAATGAATGCTATTTGTTATTTTACTTCTTCTAGTCTATGTATGACCTCTTGTTGGCAATACTTGAAGTATGTTATTTGATTTGTTATTTGCTGAAGTCCATTTTGGGAGTGTGCAACCTGCGCCACTACGCTCTGCTCCGCTTCAAATACGCTGCGAGTCTATTTTCAACGGTTTACGCTGCAGGCAATGAGTCAAGCTGGACAGGAAGTCTGACAAACGCACAAAGCGTCCGGTCAATTTCAAAATAAAACACAATATACAGACTCATGATCGCATGTTCCATACCTTTATCAACATTGCGTCAAAGTAGGCACCGCATGAACAACATATCATCCTCAGAAAGACCTAGCAACATGTTTGCACGTCTTTCTCTTTATTCCCGTGATCTTGTTTTCCTCCTGAGATGTGTGTACTGCTGCTCATGGCTGTGTCTGCTGCGCTTACGTTCCAAAAATTGGGGTAGGGTGCGCGCCATCCGACACAGCAAAACGGACGGAATATGTGGAAATTGGGGGTAAAGCTCTTCACAATTATGACTTTTGTAAGATATAACAATTAACATCATACATAACATACATGTAATGGCATTTTTCTTGTATTATGACAAACTCAAAATATATATGATAAGATACAGTCACTTTTCAGATTATACAGTGCCTTCTTTTGAGGGCACAGCTATCAGGGCTCATTGTGAAGAATTCCATGTTGTGATTTACATTTAATTATTAAATGCTGAAATTAATGTCAAAGAATGCAAATTGTTTATTTGATTAAACAAGTTAATTCCTTTTTTCTCTTGGATTTTGCTATCCGTCTGCTTTTTCAAGACATGACACCCATTTCTGAAATAAGACTTGAGTTTGACATCCACTATTAGGTCACATATTATGCAAAATGCACTTCAGCATGTTTTTCTAACACTAATGTGTGTCCCTAGCCTGTCTACAAACCCGCCAGTTATGAGAAAAGTCCGTCCTCTCCGTCTTTTGTCTGCTCCACTTTTCAGAAAATGTGTGCTCAAACAGGCTGTTTGGAGATTTTCCCTTCATGACATCACAAAGGGCAGTAGCCCCTCCCCCAGGTGGGTGACACTCCCACAGCTAGGTGTTTGTTCTGCCCTCTGAGTCTGCCTTCTCACTGTAAACGATAGGGCATGGATCGAGAAAGCCAGAGGACGACCCAAGCCCTTCTAGAGAGGGGGCGTGGTCAGACACAGGTCATTTACATATTTAAAGGTACAGACACAGAAACAGCCTGTTCTGAGCAGGGCTGAAATAGAGGGGTTTATAGACATGATCAAATACAGGATCAGAGTGGATTTAGAACAAGAAACTTCACACATATGTGAAATTTAAAGTAACTTCTACTTCAGAAAAATAGAAACGCACATCGACAACCTCCATCAGTAAGTATTTCAACCTTATGTCTCAGATTAATGGATGAAGCTCTGGGCCTGTATGCAAGAAACACCAAAGGATGGGTCACTTATTTAACAAAAAAAAAGTGAATTAAAGAATAACTCAAAAGTAAATCCTATTTTATTTTTTTAATCTAATTGCTAACAAAAGAAGAATTCAATGTCTATCCAGAATACCTTCCCTTTAGAGACCAATGGCAGTCTCTTGAGACTTAATGCACACAAGTCAAGCTTAAGACTTTGTTTCATTCCCCGTGTTCAACACTTGTTTGTGGCAGTATATTGCAACATGCACAAGGGAAGCAATAAGGCATCCTCTGTTATCAATATAATATGAATATATGCTACTTTGGATATGGGCTGCATGGTGGTACAATGGATAGCACTGTTGAATTAATGCGAGGAGGTTTGTGGTTCAAATCCCAGTTGGACAAGGCCTCTCTGTTTGTGTGTTCTCCTTGTGCATGTGTTGGTTCTCTTTCTCTTGTGAGGTCAATTGGTGACTCTAAATATGACCAGCCCTGTGATTGACTGAACAGTCTGGGGTGTATCCCGCCTCTTGCCCAATGACAGCTGGGATCAGCCCCAGCCCCCCACGTCCCCAAACGTGAAAAGCGGTATAGAAAATGGATGGATGGATACTTTGGATATGGAGTAACAAAGACTAACCATTTACAATGATACTGATGGAAACTCTATATGTTTAGTATTTTTAGATCTCTTCTCATATTCGCAAGACAAATACCATGTCTTCCTTCTGGTAATTACACAAACTCTTGGATTGTCTCTTGTTTTATATCATCCAGTGGATCTTATTATCCCCTTAGGATGAATCCTTCTGAATGAGGTGATCATGGGACTTTTTATCTTGTACCACCAGCAGGTTGGAGTCTGTAAAATAGCCAGTTTCCTCTAGCATCATCTTACACCATCATTGCTTGAAACAGTGATTTGTTGTTTCTGATAGTAATACTGTGATCAAATGTGATCCTCCGGTAATGTAATGGTTGACCTTGTTCATGGCTTTGCCTCCTTAACATGTTCAGCATTGCCCTGCTGTCTCAGAGCAGTACTGCATCACAGAGCAGCTATCATCACTGTCGATTGAATCTCGTTCCTAAACATCAAATTATTTAAAAATGAAATATTTCCTGAAAAAGTCTACATGTTTATCTCCTTGGAATAACTTTAATTTGTCATACATATTGTTTATTTGTATTAGTTCACTGACTCTGAAACACAGATAAACTTATTAATGGATATTTAGTAATGTGCAATCATAAAAATGTTGTTACTGGAGAAAACACAGTGTTACAAATTTCATGTGATAGGAGCAGGGGCGATTCTAGGGTCTGTTGGGGCCCTAGGCAAAGGTTCACTGGGGGCCCCTTCCAATGAATTTCCCTCTTTCTTTTTCCACCCCCAGAAGGATAACTCCTCTTAATTTTCCTTCATTGACAAATTTTGGTTTTCACAGGAATCATGCTGTGACGCTTTGCAAAACAGCACTCCCCACTGTCGTTGCTAAATTTGCACAATTTGAGGCAATGCTTTGGTTTCAAAGTTTGTCAGCTGTTTGGGGCCCCCCCTCTACTGGCCTGGGGCCCCAATCAGTTGTCTGCCTTGCCTGTTGACAAGCAGCACCTCTCGATAGGAGTGTGGGTAATGGAACCAACTGAATCTTCAGCAGCTTATCATCATACAGACGCATATTAGTAATAAGTCTTGTGTTTCTGAATGTTGAATGTAGAGTTAGTAAACGGCTTTTCTGTCGTGCTAAATGTACAACTGCTGCTTCTTCACCTTACTCCCAACTGACTGAGATTTGTGGAGCAAAATGTAGGCAAATATATATTATATCTTTAACTTCAGCAAACAGCTCCTCTTAAAGGTGTGACTAATTTGTAATAATGTTTGAAAAAGAATTGTAACAATAGCTGCAAAGACTAACAATTACATGTAAGTACACATCACTCTTCCACATATTTAATGTTTTCAATTAAGAATCAGTCTTAACAGAACAGACAGATGTTACAAAATACATTGAAAAAGAAAAACGTAGCCCATATTCTATACCGGAAAAACAAAGCCCAAAATAAAATGATTTTACATAATGTGCCACCAGCTTCATCACCTAAAGAACAATGACTGGGACTGGCTTATGTTGCAGGAAGTTAATGAGACTTGTTGGCATATCCAGCTGGTCGATACAATGGACCTTATTGATATCTTTGAGGTATCTTCGGACAGCAAGTCGGCACTGGGAAGTCAAGGCCTTTGGATTTCCTGGAGACACAGCAGACAATGGGAGCATAATTAACACGTCAAATTTAAAAAGGTTGACTCTTTGTTTCAGCAATCTGAACGTGATTTGTGCAAAACTACAGGCAAAAATTGTGTATGCCTAAAGTTCCCCTTTTCAACACATCCAAATATCAGACTGCTTTTTTTCTTTTTAATGGCTTCATTTACTGGTAACCACAGGATAACATCTGCAAAAGAGTATGCACAACTTAAATGTATATCTATTGCTTTAAAGTAACTATTCCATTGGAGGATGTTCCTTTAAAACCCTCAACAACCAATGAGGTGCAGCAGGAACCCGTCTATCACCATGACGTTTTAGCAGGCACTTTTCTTAAGCTTACAGCTTCGAAAGAAATCTTTTCAATTTTAGTGAATCATTGAGCACATTGGAAAGTTCAAAGAGAAGATAGTGCTTTTCTAGGGTTACCAAATGACCCCTTTAACTCCACAAAGCTCTTAGAAGAACTGAGATTTTAGTGACTAGTTTTCATAATTTGAGTAGTATCTGCATCAATCAACTCAAAGATGCAGTCATCTCATTATACAATATTTATCTCTTCCTTAAGGTTGATAAAAAGCAGATTTTGATATTTTTTGCTGTTATGGAAAGGCCGAAAAAATACACAATGAAAGTACAGGCGGCCTACATATTATCAGATCAAACCTGGAACATGATGAGCAACTTTTCCTTTTTTCTTTATATTAATTCAGAAACAGATTTTCTACTGATCTGTCGGTTTAAAAAAAAAAAAAAAGTAAATTTACTGTCAGAGTGACAGAATATTTGGCTTCTGAAAGATAAATCCAATATGTGGTTCTCTGGTCTAAGTGTGTGCTCTTTTCCATTTCTCTTGAATGGTCTCAGGACCTTCTGCTCGTCTCTTTCTAAATTGTCTCTGTGCAGTTCGTGTTTGCAACAGGAAAGGAGTTGTGCTTGCTTTATACTTCAAATTGTTTGATTAATGTAATATAACATACTTATACTGCTCCTACTACTATACAGTAAGTACTAATATCCTGTTATATTATCATTTACCCCTCTCCTGCAGAAGCAGCTCCACAGCCTCATTCTGCTTGGTGGACTTCTCGATAATCAGTGTGGGAAGGTAGACATTAGCTCCGAAGTCAATTAAAAGCTGTATATACTCCACGCCACATCCATGCCTGAGGCACATCTCGAGCACGGTTTTGGGCTGCTTGATAGAACTCAGAAGCTTTGCGTCAGTGCAGTTATAATCTGGGTCCGCCCCGTAGAGAAGCAGGAGTTTGAAGCACTCCATGTGTCCATAAACGGCAGCCAAGTACAGCGGTCCACTGGATACTCTCGCACCGGAGGTCCAGAGCAAGACTTTGGAGCGGGAGTTCACCTCAGCACCGTGTTTAAGCAGTTCCTTCAAGATGTCCACGTTCCCCTCGCGAGCAGCAGTAAGCACAGGGGAGCAGTTGTTGGATGAGTTTCCATTGGGGTTGGCACCAGCTCCGAGGAGCGCTAATACACAATCCAGGTATTTCCCACGCACGGCTGCGAAGAGCGGCGTCTGAGCCTTCACATCTACACAGTCAACCAGGGCCCCATGGGCAAGCAGAACCTGTAGACAGCTAAGGTGGCCTTTGGACACAGCAGCATGCAGAGGTGTGCCTGAGATTCCCCAGCCACCTCTGCAGTTAATAACTTTCTTGTAGATTTCCTGGCAAAGCATTTCCTCAAGAAGTCTGTCATTGTTTTGTAACACTGCTTTTCTAAGCTGGGATATTTCACAGTTGTTTTCTTCTTCTGCATGGGTCCTTAAGCAGATCATAGAATCTGCTGGGGGAAAAAAAAAAAAACAACAACACAAAATTAATTTATTTAACCACATTTTTGTAGCACACCAAGTAAAATGTATGAAACGTGGTCTATTTCGACAGATGCTTTTGATTTCCCTCCCCACAGATTTATTTAAAACGGCACAGAAAACAATTCAACCTTTAAATAAGTAAAAAAGAGAAACGAGCATTTTTTATTTCTTTATTTATGGCTTATTTATTATATAAACGATGTAACAATGAATGTTACAAGTTCCATACTGTAGCATCCGTCGTTACCTTTAGATGTAATGTTGCATTCACGTCGTGTTAGTTAAATACGATTAGTTAATGTTAACATACTAATTAATTCAGGTATTACACATCAACCTTTTGCTGAAATATAACTTTGAACAGTAACATTTCACTGATCTTCTTCGTGACATCAACGCTTTTGTGTGCTGTTGTTGCAACATTCCGACTTTCCGAACTAAAAATCACGTGAACACACTGAAGCCGGAAGAACGACTCGGAAACCTGGACCACCCGAGCAGCACCTGAACGCAGCATCGGACACGATAAATGTCCACTATGTGAGCCTGCACCAAACTCCCTCCAGAATCCATCACACTCTGTGTCGGCTCGTACACTAATATACTCAACCAGTCGTCTCAGAGTCTTCTCACATGTTTTATAAGGACGTTTAGAGAACCCTGCACACAAATAAAACCTCATGTGATTCCGTTCAATACCCTGAAGGCTACATCTGCTAACACGGTGTCATTCTGCTATTTAAAAGAATAGTATAATATATATAGCCTGTAACTTTACCTTGGTGTAAAGCAGCTGCATGAATTCACGCAGGCTATAAAAGAACAGGTTAAAAAAAAATACTATCCTGGATTTAAAGGCCATTTACTTACGGTCAACATTCAACATACAGAAACGGAAACGCAAGTCATATTAGTAATACTCGATCCCCTTACAGGATAAACTAGCGAACAATAAGCGAAGACAAACAACCTGTCGGTACAAAGCTGGACAATAAACGCGTTTGAAAGTCGAGATGAGTTACTGAAACATCAAGACGCTGTTTTGGTTTTTATCCCTCTCGGTTTAGATTGGCCTACCTCAGATATGTCGCCATCAGCTGATTTCTTCAGCTTCATATTCTTCTTCATGTTTTGGATTTCCGGCAGTCTAGAGACCTTACGGCACATTGCTGCCTCTCACAGGCCAATCTGCTTCTTCTTCTTCTTTTAGATATCCCGGTAGCTAAGACGCAGCTACGCGTATTGCTGCCCTCTACAGATAGACAGAAACTAAACCATTCTCCAAAAACATCACTTATAAAGTCCTGTGGAATGGGCAAAATGAATAATTGCTTATGCAGTCAAGTTCTCGTATTGGCCATGCAACCTGAAAAACAAGATTTCTTATATTATGTAAATGCTGGTTTATCCACAGTGCCCCAGTCTCAGTCTAGTTACAGTATCTTCATCTTCATTCAGGTTGTAGATTCAAATAATGGCTTCCTCTTTTTTCCTTCTCCCAAGTTTCTTGCCACTTCCTCTCGAGACCTTCTTCGATTTTACTTCTACCTTCAGTTTTCAAAATGTTACATTAAAATCTATATTAACTCATTCTAGAGATGATTTCCTGTCTGCAACTTTATTTCCCATGACCCCATTTCCCCAGAATCCAGACTAATCGAACTTCACAGTTCAGTTTTCCAACTCTAAACACGGTGGTTAAAATGTTCAGGATGTTGATCACCTTCCTCTTAAGGACATCAGGGCTGCAGCTGAGTCTGAACAAATCACTTTTATCATTACTTCAATTCCGTCGTGAAAACAGATATTAAATCATTAACTCAATGAAACATGTTTATATCTTATTGTGTCATCTCCTGACACACCACTCTCTGGGTCTGTAGAGCCAGCAGTACATATCTTTATGACTTCATTGACTATTTATTTATCAACTCAGAAACTTACATCACTTTCCTCATCTTGAACAGTGGATAAAAGAGCAAAACTATATATCAGATTCTAACATTATCCAAGAAGGAACAGGAGCCCAAATACATTTTGGTGCATTGCAATTAAGTCCATTCCATGTCTCTTTAGAGAAACACAAAACAAGAGAATTGTGACCACTGCCATTTAGGTTTGACTTATTATAACCAAACATAAGGTCATCAAACACTGACCTTATCATTGCTTGATAAATTGTGTTGGATTGGATAATTGTTCCTCTCTATGCACCCCATTCACCACCCCATAGACCTCTCACAGGCCAGTCTTGGTAGCACTTCTTTCCTTCTTTCCTTCCTTCGATAGTTTAGCTTTTTTCCAAACAACTGCGCTCTTCCTCTACACCTCCACAGTATCTTCTCCAACACTCTTTTTTTTCAGACTTAAACACTTTCCATGCCTGGGTCTTTTAACCTTTTATACTCTATTGCACTTCTCTCTCTAAGTTATTACCTTAGTGATCTGTAAGCACAATATCTTCCTCTTACTGCTTTGTCACAATCCGTGTTTCACCATGGTGCACTTATTCTCATTTCGCATTTTCTCTTAATCAGTATGCATTCATATGCACTGCTGATAATCATTTGAACTAACTGTTATTCCACCTAATGTTCCTTTCCCCATTTAACTCCTCAATAGCTTTCAGAGAACAGTTCCCAATCTGCCTTTCTTTGCTTAAAGGTCATATATTATGCAAAACACACTTTAGCCTTTGTTTCTAACGCTATGTGTCCATCTACAAACCCCCAAGTATGAGATAAATCCATCCTCCTGCAACACAGAAAACGTGTGCTCAAACAGGCACTTTCGAGAATTCAGTATTAAACAGCCTTTACAGCTGTCAGCTGTAGTCATTCAATTATTCTTTATAGCGCCAATTCATGATGAATGTTATCTCGAGACGCTTTACAAAAAGCAGGTGAATACCTTATTCATTGTTATGTAACAAAAGAAAAACTAGATAAAGGAGATGGGATAAGATGCAGGAAGGATTTCTCCTTTGTATTCCTCACATTCCTGTTGTCCACACTTCCTCACCACTGAGGTGGAGGTCGGAGCAGGCCGTGCATGAATGAGGACGGCAGTGGTTGTGGGGGCGACACAGTCCAGGGACGTCAGGAGGTAGCAGTGCCCTATTCTCTGCCGGGACAAGGCCTCCTGGGCTTCTAACACACTGACACCAGCAACAAACAGAAGTGTGAGCTCAGGAGCTCCCAGGATAATATTTGGTTACAATTCCATAATGTTGGATGGTAATCAACAAACTTGTCGATCCATTTAAAAAGCTATCATGAATTAACAAATCCAAACTTTTCCAAGAATGTAAAGCAACTCAAAATGGTACATTCACAAAAAATTGATTGTTTAAAATCCTGGGCCTCTGGAATCAGCCAGTCAACTGGCCTTATACTATATCTACATACTTAGAGTATAGAGTATGTAGAGTAGGACACGATTTATAACTGGAAAACTTCTGCCTTTGTTAGAGGAAAAGTCTTAAAAATAGAGATTTGTATTCATAGCACTGGACAGACAATTCTCTATTGCTTGCCTTATCACTGCCCTCAGCTCTATCTGTTCTCTCTCCAGGCAACCAGGATGGCATCCTTTCTTTTAAAAGTAGGTCTGTTTAGTTTGCAAGTGCGTCACAGAGTCTTTGTCTCGGGAATTGTGCACAGAAAACAGGCTGAGGGCACAATGCAGGAAAAGAGACTTTAATGATTTGAAATGTGTTTCTACTGGGAAAGGCTTTGACAACCAAACAAACAAATTGATACCTCTTATTTTGTTAAACATGAAAACAAATATTGTTTAACCAAAAATGCTGACTGCAATGTCTCTCAGGTCTCTGAAACTTGTTCTCTTCAGGACCTAGGCTGCCTGAGTGATTTGACAGTTTCTATTCAGTGCCAGGGGTTTTAAAACATGGTAATGAGCAGCGCTGGCCTCCTCTGTCTACTCTACTTCTATAGCCGTTGCTGAGAGACAAAGTATAAGTCACCGAGGCGCTCAGAGAGAGTGGGGACGAGGCCTTTAACACAACGACACTACCATAACTCATTGTGTGTCTGCAGGATGAGGGGAGGAAGAGTCAGCTAAGGAAATGAGAGTGTGTGGGAAAGACACAGAGTTGGGATTAAGATAAGGAAGAGGGGCTAAAAGGAATACAAAACCTGCTCAAGTCTTCAGGAAATGAGAGTAAAAAAAGATGAAAGGATTCCACATTTTTTAATGAACTGATGGGTGAGTGCCGAGCTCAAGAATGCCCATGTGGTAGTAGATTATTATTTTGATTTCAAGAGGATTTGATGTGCTCTACAAGATGACATACACACTTAAATCACAAACGCAAAGATTGTGGATTCTAAGTGTGGTTTTGATCGCAGCAGTTGGAGGTAAGAACTTTAATTTTTGAGTTTAAAAGAAAACACGATTTCTAGTTTAGAGAATGTTTTTGTTTTGCAGCCTGAAATGTGAATGGTAAGTGTTTAAGAAAAGCAACCCTGGCTGCTTTGTTTGGATATGTCAACTTGTCTTCTATGGTTTTATAAGTATCATTCTGCCTTGGAAAATGATGCACTGATTATTGAGCAAGTGAATTTATGTTAAAGCTAGCTATTGTGCGGTTCACCCTGTCATTAGGACGTTATTTATAATTGGAATCAGTCATAAGGTTGTGGCTGCATTTATATATTTCATATTATCTTCAATTTTTGAAACTGCTTTTTCTTTTTAACATAGAGGTTGCAAATGTAAGTAATGATTATGTTGTTGTGTAATAAACATACAATAACTCAGTAGCTTTCAATTAACATTTAGCTTAGAGGTAAATATGAGACTCGACTCTTTCATGCATAGTGGTCACTGCAGTGGACAGCTGTTACAGCTGTTTAATACTGACATGGGTTTTTATGGAATGTTTTCACATCTGCAACTTTATTGGACCTTTATTATCCCGTACACTGCCAGAGTACCAAAAACACAATTTAAAATCAAAAACGACAAATGGAAGGTCAGAAATACCATGCAGCACAGGACAATCTTGCTAATCTTTCTCTTCAAGAAGATGATTTTTTTGTAACATCAAGTCAAATCAAAAAAGACATGAAATTGCTTTAGGTTTCTAGAAAATTGTGGTTGATCAACTGTCTACTGAATTGGACAGGCCTTGGTACCCTATAGGCAAAATTTGAGCTGATGCCCCATATTGCAACTAATTCACCACCAATCACAATATTCATACACAAGAAAACTGGCATCCAGCTTTATGTTTTACAGCTTTTCTTCATGTAAACCTGATATTTAGTGTCACTCACTTCTGACAACTCGTCTGCCCTCCTCCCCACAAAGAGCAGGTAATGAGCAGCGGTGTTGTGATTCATATTTACATTCTGTGCTTAAGCAGGGAGCAGGAAAATATAGCCTTTTTAAATAGGTGATGTAGTTAAGCTTTATTAGCACAACAATTATATTAGATAAAATAACATTAAGTAACAGTAAAACATGTTTCCTTCTTTTTCTTCTTATCTTCAACTTTTCGTCCTCACTCATTTCGGAGACCAGGGCGCCCCCTATGGATGGCAGGCGCCCCTAACATTTGCCTATACTGCCTATGCCATGGGCCCTGGAATTGGATGTTAATCATTGTTGGCTTTATTTCAGTTATGATGAATATTATTATAGAGACTTTCCTGTTCTTGATAATATTTCTTGTGGAGAAACTAGTTTTCAGTAAAACAATTGACTTATATTCTTAAAGGGAATCTCACAGTTTTATTTATCAAAACAATATTTTTTTTAAGTTATAACTTCAGTTTCTTTCAACGTGCTTCTATGGAGAGAGCTCAAATCCTAATTCAAACCCATGCTCGGATTTGCTCTCCCATTGAAAGTTTGCTGTTGGAGAGTTTCTGGAAGCCTCCAGGGAAAAATTTTTGGAGGTAGTTTGATCTCATCAAGTGTACTTATTACTGTGTAAAATATGAAAATGAAAATGTGTGTGTTAAAGAAACACATCTTTTGTTTTGTTTATGCATAAACAAATGAATGAAGAAATTCTTCTGCATGGTGTCCACTCTAGTGGACACTTCTGTAACTTGTTCAACATAATGATTTAAAAAAACAAAAAACATTAACGTCACTTTGCATGCCCTAAGAATTGGAAAGCAACATTTTAAAAAAAAGAAGAAGCTC